TTATCCACAGGCATCAGAATCATAGCCTAGGCGCTCTGAAGATAAGGCAGTCGCTTTGTACGTGCTAATGAAGGCTTGAAAAATAGCACCTGGAGTAAAAGTATGTTGTGGCTGGAATCGAGTGAAATCGGTCAGCCAAAAAGAGAAGAAATGGACCTACGAGCCCACGAGGCAGATCCAGACAGGAGACTAAAGCAGGATCAGCCACTCGAAAGGGAGAGCAGCAAGTTAAAGTGCCGATGTGATGTAGAAAAACTGGGTTTCGAAGAATCCCTTAATAGATTCATGTTGGAGTACCTCTAATTTCGTTTGAAGAGGCAAGTGGAAGAGATTTGTAAGTTTATTTCCACCGGGGGCTGGGGGGGTTGCCTTGGAGCTGTAGTTGTAGATTTGTGTGAATAGGGCCTCTACGCAACGCCCTGCGACCCCAATGAATTCTTGCTGAGCCTTCATCCGTCATGTGACGAACATCGCCAGAGCAGGATCCCACACTTGACGATGATTAGCCAAAAAAACGAAGGCAAGAAAGGTGGCTGGTTTCAAATCTACTTCCTTATATTCCAATTTGGTCGACTTATGCATCTTATGTTTTGGTTTGATGTCCTATGCTTTACCTCTATCTTTGCTCATAAGTTAAGTTAAGTGGCTGCGGATAACATGTTGATGGTTACATATGAATCGTGAAATGTGTGCAATTGAAACCGAACAGCTGCATCCTTCTCTAAAACACTAATGCCTTTGATCCTGAAATGTTGCCGCATGTCATTGTATCCCATTGCGCATGTGTTGTGTGAGTGCATTTCTCTTGAAATTAGTGTGGTGTGATAGTCAAAATCAGATTCGAGCCTAATCAAGCCTCCTCATCTTGATCGGTGATACTTCTCATCCCCCCTCTCTCTCTAAACCCATCCAACAGCCACACGTAGTTTCCGCTTAACTTCCTACACTCCTTCCTTCTACTAAGGGTGTTGGCTGTTTTGTTGACTTCTATCGCCTCCCTAGTCTTACTGGTATAGTCTCCATATCCAGCTAAGAGTTTGGCATTAGACCAATCTATCTGGTGTCCTGTGAGGGCCATGTGTCCGGTCAATTCCGATTTTTGGACC